GGTCTGCTGCCTCCGCTCATCAATATCCTGCAAGTAGCAGAGTTTCGCACAAGGAAGGAGGCAGCGTGGGCCATTACCAATGCCACCTCAGGGGGTTCTGCAGAGCAAATCAGGTACAAACTGTGCACAGTATACAGCCAGTGTACCCATAATAGTCACACGTGTCTTGAGTGAAGAAGTCAACTGATGCCACTGATTTTAAATTATACAGACTCTTCCATTATAAACAAACCTACTTCTGTTTTTCATTGTTGTATCATTTAAGACTATATATATACTATTATATGTAGCAAATGTGACTTCAAACAGGTTTATTTGAATCATTTTTCAAGACTGTGAGTTGGCGAGGGATTAGGGAAGTTGCCAATCAGCTTGTAGCCTTGCATGTCTGCGTTTCTTTCAGTGCACTGTGTTCACTGATTAATATGTTGCCTCTTAAAAAGGTATTTTTCTTCAATGACTATTAATGTTTACTCTGTGTGTGCTGCCGTCTGCAGGCACTTAGTGGAACTTGGGTGTATAAAACCTCTGTGTGACTTGCTCACACTCATGGACTCCAAAATAGTTCAGGTGGCTCTAAATGGCCTGGAGAACATCCTGCGACTGGGAGAATTGGAGGCCAAGAGGGGAGGAGGCATCAACCCCTACTGTGCACTCATTGAGGAAGCCTATGGTAAGTAATTAAATCCGGACGAAGGAAATAGGAAAGTAACGGTAATAGTCAGTAACCCTGGTCATTGGCTAATCTTTTATTTTCTGGAGTGTGCCGCCTCTATTTTAGCACTACTCTCCACCTTTTATCTTTACAGGTCTGGACAAACTGGAGTTCCTGCAGAGCCATGAGAACCAGGAAATCTACCAGAAAGCCTTTGACCTGATTGAGCGCTACTTCAACACTGAAGATGAGGATCCATCTTTGGCTCCAGCCGTCGACCTGCAGCAGCAGCAGTTCCTCTTCCAGCAGTGCGAGGCCCCGATGGAGGGCTTCCAGCTATAATGCTAATTCCTCCCTTTTCCCAGAGCTCCACGTTCATCCTCACCTTTGCTCCCGTCTCACTCTATCCCCACAGCCATGATCCAGGGTGACATACCTCGGCCTCCCCCTCCCATTCCCCTTCTCATTGTCTGAGAGGTTTAATCATCATCATGATTATTAAAAGCATACCATTAAAGGGGCACACTCTGTTCATGCATCCAGCACGGGTGAATTCTGCAGTCTTGTCAGCCAGTTCAAGGTTTCACTCATTCTGTCTATTGCTGAATTAATTTTTTCCCTCAGCACCTGGACCTCTCCTGTGTGGTTAAGCCCCAACATGTCCAGCTATAAACTTTTCCTATGACTCCATCCCCACATTATTGCTATTTTTTTTTTGTTGGGTTTTTTGGGGGGGTGAATTCTTCCTCAGCTTATCCCCAATAAAATAACCTCTTTGTGGTCCTGTAGGATTGGCTTTTGCTAGCTCTTGAGTCAGTGGTAGTATTTGGGCTGCACTGCTTGTCTGATTGAAGCATTAATGAGTCTCGAGACAGACAAACATGGACATGATTTCATTTTCTTTCTTTCTTCTTTTTTAAAGATATATATATATATATAACACCCCCCCTCCCATCCACATTGAGAATAATGAACCTAAACACTGGACTGACCATGAGACGTTGACCGCACACTCGACTGTGGTCACTGGACTGAAATGCCCACACTGGGCCACATGGCTAGTTCCAAAATAAAGACTCATCTGACCACTACGAAAGGCACGACTCAAGAGTGAAGGTTGCTCTCCGATCGCAGATGGACAATTTTAGAAATTGCTGAAGGTTGGAGCTCCTCGGTGACAAATCAGGCTGCTTGCATTCCCACCTGGATCTCATATCACGCATTCCTCTTTCCAGCAATGGGACTATTCCACCTGCACAGGCTCCATCCCGAAGAGTTTAGACTGCCTGCTGCCTTCTGGTGTGACGTGAATTAACCCCATGGAATCATGGGAACCGGAGTCTTCCCACGCACTGAGACAACTGGACAGACTTGGACAAGACAAAATAGACTATTTAACCCTGGTTTCTGTCCAGCAGCAGACCAGTGGGGAATTTTTTTTTTTTTTAATTACCATAATTTCATTTCTTTTGCAGCACTTTAGTTCAGGACTGATGCCTGCTCATTGACAATAGACCACAGTTTATACATTAGCTATGTAATTGGTTAATGACACGGCTCTTCCCTCCTAAAAATGCGAGGTGCAAAGAGGTGGTCTTTATCATTGTCTCCCCACCCTCCTGGTATGACAAGGATTTACACTGTTTTGCCCTTAACCAGAGAGACTCGAGCAGTTTGTGGACTGAAAATGTTAGCACACACTTTCGAGGGTCATGGTGCCTCAGCAAAGCTAGAAGAACTTTTATTCTGACAAAGCAACCTCTACCAATCAGACAGCATTTTGAAAATTGGCCGTTTAGCTGTTAGCTGTGTAAAACATAACGTTCAAATACGTGTTCAGGTAGTATTTTTTTTTTTTTAATTTGATCATGCCAAATCAGAAACATACAGTATGCCAGCTATTAGGCCCACAGTTGGTCTTATTTTCAATAAAAAGTGTTTTATTTCGTTTTTTTTTAATTTGGGGTTTAGCATCTGCCATGTAGCTGATGGTGCCATAATCCTTATTCTACAGAAATCCTTCCACATAATTTCAAGAAAAATCCAGATTAAAACTTGAAAACCCCGGTGATCACCTTAGTTAGCAAAACTGAATGTTTGTTTACCAAGTCCTCTTTACATTGCTTATTTTTTGTCAAAATCTTAGCAAAAGATGACCAGCTCTACGTGTTCATTACTGTTTGTTGTACTGGGTTTGTGCATCTGTCCCCTGTTATGCCATTTGCATAAAAGTTGTTTCATGAACTACAACGTTTAATCGGTTTCATTATAGTCACTGAGTCTTTTTGTTTTGTTGTTTTTCATTTGATTTTTATTAACTTGCTTCCTTCAGTTTAAGGCAACAACTAATTATTTTCCGTGTCATTATATCAAAGCATGCTAGAATCATAAATGCTAAAAGAAAGCTGAAGCCACCGTGACATCACTCTGATTGCACGGTTAAAGTCAGTAGGAGCCACACAGAATCCATACATCTGTGGCTGTGAGAGGGCGATGGGTGGAAAGGTAGTGAAGGTGGATTCAAACATTCAAAACAGAAGACAGTGCAGGTGGGGTTGAGCGGGTGGAGATGAGCGTTTGAAGTGATTTGCGACAGATGGCTGCAAGAGTAAAAAAGAAGATCTACAAGATAATAGTAGACCCTGCTGTTGTGTATGGTTTGAAAATAGTAGTACTGACAATAGACAGAAGATTGAGCTGGAGGTGGTTGAGCTGAGGATGCTAGGACCAGAATGGACAAAATTAAAAATGAGTACATCAGAAGGTCAAGGGTCAACGGTTTTGGAGGCAAGGCTGAGATGGTTTGGACATGTGCAGAGCAGGGATGGTGAATGGATATGGAGCTGCCAGGCAAAAGAGGAAGACCATAGAAAGATTTATGGTTGTAGTGAAGGAGGACCAAAAAGGATGCTAATCGATGGGATGAGATGTAGGCAGATGATCTGTGGTAACCCCTAAAGGATGCAGCTTCGGAAAGCAACTACTTTTTAAAGCTTTACTTTTATTAATATTTTGGCTGCTTCCATGTGTTTTCAGAGCCAGGAAGGATTACGTTTGGATGCAAGTGGAGTACAAAGTTGTTTAAGGACTTTAAATTGAATGGGTGCATCACAGACATTTCCTAATTTGTGCTTAGTGACAGAGTAGTTTTTGGTTGTAAAGCTGTTTTAAATACTCTTAAGGTTGAACATTCATCCACTAGGAACTGCCTGTATGCTCTTGCCTCATGAATCCAGGTGTTGTTATGCACCAGGGTGAAACCAGGATCCACGGTACCAGTGTAGGCGCTGAAAGCAACCCCCTGAAACTTAATGGCAGTCAGGGTGTTGTTGCCTAGTCTGTAGAGGTCTGTGCCACCCTGCATGGATATGGCTCCCCAGATCATCACTGACCCACCACCAAAATGTTCATCTGAACAGTGTTACAGACAGTATTATGCTCTCCACTGCTTCTCCAGGCCTTTTCAAGTCTGTGACATGTGCTCAGGGTGCATCTACTCTCATCTGGAAGAATCACAGGTCGCCAGTGGTGGACCTGCCAATTCCAGTATTTTATAGTCAATGTTAATGTTGATCTAGTTCTAATCTTTGACCGAGATTAGAGAGAATGACCACACCTTGGCCCTTGACGCACTTATCTTCTGTGTAGATATATAACCGAATGGGAGAGAAGCAGAGGCCAAAATCCTGTTGAATTTATGATCTAACACAGGAAAATGAGCAGAGAAAAAGTCAAAAATTATAAAAAAAAACCAAAAAAAAAAAAACCACTCAACCTCACTCAGTGCTTAGTCATCCTAGCCGTGTGCCATGTTTACATACCCTGCATGTGCAAGAACCACCGCAGCACATAATCACATGCATGCACACGCACACACCCACCAATCGCAGTAAAAGATAAAGGCAGGTAGTAGAATAATTTCATTGCTCCAACTTTTGTTAATCAAAGATTTACTATTGGCGAAAGCACATACAGCTAAACTATATTATAGGACTCTGTATCATTTCACCCATGATGATAGATAAGACCTTTTACCACCCATCCGATGAGAGGTAAGCCAGGAGAGATCAATCCAATCTTTCTCACCAAGTGATACGCTGATTAAAAAGTGGTCCTTTAAGTTTTTTAAGCAGTATAGTTTGTGACGATATTGCAGGGAAAATAATATACCATAGTATCCAAATTACCCTCCCAAACTTTAGTAAAGATAGCCGCAAAAAAAATAAATTAAAATTAAAAGCGGGATTGGTCACAAATGGTGAATATTTCCTGAAATAAGCCTTCCAAAAGTCTTGGAAGGTGCCCACATGTGCCCAAACCAGGGGTCATTAAATTGCACTGCACATTTTTATAGAATCACTGCTTTATTGAACTAGTTTTGGTGCTCACCACATACAAACACAGATGGCACATCATAGTGGCCATGAAATAAGAAGCCCACTCAGAGGGGTATCAGGACAGACAGCCCACTGCACAGGTGAACAAGTCACATCCAATCAGCTACTTAATGTTCCACAAAAAGGGGAAAGACAATATTTTCACAAGGCATAATTGCACCTTCCTGCAATAAACCCTCCACTGGGCTGACACAACGAAATGCCACTACCAAAATAATGGCTTGTGCCATTAATCAAGTGCCACTTTGTAACCCTGTTATTTATATACATTCACTAAGTAGATACATTTTGCATCAGGTACTCAATTATTGCAAAACTATTGTTAAGGCCAATTTCCTTGTTGCAAAAGCACTACTCAGAATTTACTGCTGATATTTTTTTGGTTGCACTACACCTCCAAAGGTTGGGACTGGAGAAGTTGTGGTATACACAGAAAGTGCTATTGACTTGGGTTCGAGAATGAGCGTGTCTGAATGAGTCATCTTCCATCACTGAGCCTTGTCAGACAGGGCAACGGCACTTGCGCTTGGTTTCTGGTGTTCTTCTCTCCATCTGGCTTTCTTCTCGATGTTTAGTGCCGTCAGGGTCTCCTTCCTGGCAAGAGACTGCAGAAAAACAGGAAAATACATGTGGCATTATTTAAATGTGAATGAAAATACAGAGGCAATGCATGAATCAAAGCAGTGAGAATTGAATTACTCACTAATTATTAAAATTCTTGCAGGGGACTAAAAATTGTGATACATTTTCCGCTTTGATATCCTTTTTTTTTTTTTAAACATAAGTTGAAATGTCACATTGGGAACTTTGGGACATTTTGTGACCAAACTTTTAATTGCAAGTCGTTGCTCTGTTTATTCATAACATGACGTAGATGAGTCTATGTGAAAAGGCAGGATTAAACCTGCTCTTTTACATTATTGGATAGCAGTGATGACATGTCTGTCCTTGTTGACAGTTACTGAAGTTGAAAAGAGAAAAAAAATTTTCATGCAAGACCCATTCATCCATTCTTACCCTTTTGCCCAGAAACACCATAACCATACAAGCTCCTATCGTGGCAGCCATCATCACATAGGCAGCCTTTACTCTGATTTTGTTTCTGGCAGCGTCAATCATCTCAAACCTGTAGAAGAAGCACATGTACACATGAACACTCATTAGGAAATGTTTTCTTGGCTCAAAAGTAGGCTTGAAACATAAGAATACTTCAGCATTTAATCTTGATATTGTTATTGAGGATCAGCGCAGCAGCATGATATTTACGGGGCCTTTTGTTCCAGTTATAGCAGCATTGGTGACTGTCAGCAGATAGTCTCTTGGATCCTTCACACATTTTGCTTTGTTTTGGATACTGGGGCTTTGAGTACATGACATAGGAGGGCTTCTGTTTATAAGCTTGCCATTCAGGTTTTTACATCGCAGCAGCAGATCAGATGTGATCTCCGCCCCGATGCCAAGATAATCCTCTCCAGTCACCAATAGAAGGCTTGTTTGAACTGCAGCTGTCTGAGGACCAGCTACACACTGTGCCGCCGCTCATCCTGTTAGTTAGCCCTGTTCTTGTGATGTAACTTAACTGAATGTGACAGAGGCAGTGGGACTGCGGTGTGCCGGAAGGTCTGGTATAAACAGGAAAAGGCTACTTACGACACAGTCTCTGGTATCTGCTCTGCTGACTTGAAGCGCCCTGACCAGATCAGCATCTTCTTGTCCATATCTGAGGGCTTGTAGCCTGGAAGTCTGAATGCGGGACGCGGCTCTGTGTGAATTAACAAAGCATGCATTATAATGAAGCCTGCAACCCCACGTGCTTCCTGAACAAAAAGCCAGAGATTCACATCATGACCTGCAAACTGCGACCTCACTTCCTGTGTCCCTCTTAGTCTTTTGGGATTTAAAAAAGTCACATACTTAGCCATCACAAATACCCTGTAACGCACAAAGTCAACATTTTTAGAATACTCTATGAGTGTAGCATTTTCCACATTAAAGTCATGCCACACATTTATATGAAAACCTAGAAGTTCAAATTCAGAAGCTGGTATTTAGTTTTTTCAGGTTCATCAGTAAATATTGTGCATTGTCTTATGATGACTTTTGAGCTCATCTGTTGTTCAAACCCTACCATGTGCTGGTGCTGCAGGTGGGGACTCCGCTTTGGTCTCCTGCAGTTTATTGCACATCCCTCTGTGGCTCCATGTCTGCAGCACATGTCTCCTCTGACCTGTTTAGATACAGAACTAGTATCACATCGAGTAAAGCAGGAAGTCACATTAGTGACGATAGAACTAGCTGATGCTACTGAAAAAAGAAATTAAATAGTTAAACAAGAAAATTAGTAACGTGTTGCAGGAATTAATTCATCATCCAATCACAACTTTAGCATTACACATTTGAGAACAGCCCTTAAAAGGCTCAAAATAAAATTACGCTCTTTAATTACGCTGGGAAAAATCTCTTCATGAGAAATCAAAGTATTACCATTTACCCCAACTTAATCTCATTTTATTCATTTATTTTTACAATCGTGTGATAGCTATCTATCAATCACACAATTGTATATATATATAGGACATAGCACTTTAACTAAGTTGTGTATTTATTATATACCGTTATTCTTTATCCTCCTGATACAAAAACAATTTTCCTTGTGGGCTCAATAAACTATCTATATCTAAAGCCCTAAATTGGACACAACTGAGTACTACATGACACAAAAACAGAAATCATCACACCTGAAGGGCCTAAAACTGACAACTGTTTAATTTTACTTACAAACAAAGAAACAAACCACGACTACGAACATCTTCAATTATAGACACGGTTCATACCAAGCAGGAGTGCCTGGTTAACCAGGCCTGAATAGCGTATAATGATAATACAACAAGTTAACTAGGTCAAGTGTTTTTAATGGGATAATTTACCGAGACACCACGCACCAATTTACACAAACTGCTTTTACTGCCACAAACACCATTTCAACAAATGCAAGACCTCGAAAAAACATCAAACATTTATTTATAACCGAGTCCAGAACTCACTCACAGCTGAATTTATAACCAAATAACATCAACAAGCATCGGATTAGAGAGTATTCAAGCGACTTATTACGCAACGAAAACACAGAAATTCAAGTTAGCTATACGAACCGAGGAGGCTGCCGATGGAAATGCGGGATCTGATGAAATTCATGCTTTTGCTGATTGAATACACAAAGTCCAGTTTCTCTAAAAAGCCATTGAAGTGCGCTGGAAATCTGTCAGTTCCTCCTCAGCTGCTGAAAGTCAAACAGCTAACAGGACCGTCAGATAGGACGCTGTGTCGTGTGACTGATCAAAAGAAACAAGCTAGGGCCCGTATTTATGCCATTTGGACAGCGTCCATACGGATCGGGTAGTGACAGTGACAGCCCTGTGGCTGTGGTTGGGTCTTTGCTTTCGCTGTGGTTGAATTATTAGGAGTCTCAAACAGGGCTGCTGGAAGTTAAGCTAAAGTTGAGAAGAACAAGTGGAAAATGTATTAGTATAAATGGCGCTATCCACTATAGTTGCATTTTTATCTATTTTAATATATTCACTTTGCGTTAATACGTGCGGCAGATGTTAATTTGTGAATGCGGCAAAAACAAATAAATAGCATTTAGGCATTATTAAAGCCTTTCCGTGCAGGCACTTTCTTGGACAGCCACCTCCACCACCAGTGATCCTGGTGAAGGACCCGTGCAGTCCACTATGGCGGCGCCCGGTGGAAGTTTAAACTGTGAGGACTATTCAATGTTTCAGGTAACGTTAACGACTGATTAATTGATCCGTGCAGGCCGATCACGCACCGACGGCCAGTCGAATCACCGCCTCCCCCGCAGTTCGTTTGCCGCGCTGTTTATTTTGCGCGAGAGCCAATGAATTGGTGACCCTCCTGATTACTAAAGACCTGCACGAGTTCAAGGAGGCACAGTACTCAGAGCTTTCAGTATGTGGATCAACATACCCATGCAGCCTTTAATAACTGACTCTTTAAGCTGGCATAATTTACTTATAGATGTCATGGTTTGGTATATTGTGTTATTTTGTAGATTTATATTTTTATGCTAGAACCTCACTGAACTCGCTTTGCATAATTCATAACTAACACACGTACATTTATTTATTTTATATAGGCTGTTTATGAGGCTTTGGAAAGTCATTTTAGCGCCTATCTCCAGGCGGCAAAAGCACTCTTTCTTCTGATTGGTCAGCTTTTGCAAGCCAGCAGAAGGGCAGCACTTATCTTTTTATGTGCGGATGCCAGAATACACACAGCTGTATCTGATTAAAAAAGAGCCTCATGCATTACTGCTCACAAAAAAAAAAATCCCATTGGGGGGAAAAAGTACATATTTCAGATTCTTTCACTCAGAAGTCCTCTCAGAGTACGGAGGGTACAGACCAAAGCTATTTTACTTTGTTATGAGTAAACTATATGTAGAAGTAGAGTTAGCTTGTAGAAATTAAGGGGGAAAAGCCCTGTTTTTAGTTACATGTAAGCTTGCCTCTTATTCTAACATTAAATTTGAAGATTTAGAAGTTTGGCTTCTTTTTCTAGGTGGTTTTGGAGATGATCATTCATGCTGTCAGTTTGTTTGTTTGGCGAGCAAAGCATCTAAACCACAGTTAAGAAAGTGTGTTCCTAGAGCTGATGCAATGCCCCCACCCCACTGTCTACACTTTGCGGGCATGCTGTTCCTATAGCAGATGGCCATATAAGGAAAGCGGTGGAAACAGAGCATTGTGAGCACAGAATATTACATTAACCCTTTACCTTTTTGCTGAACAAATATGTAAA